CTCTTTCTATTTAGTACCTAGCCCTTGGTAATCAGGTTGGTAAGATATACATATGGGACACCACACAGAATGATGTCATCAAGGGACGTCCATCAGTGATACTCTCTTCAGCTAAATGCTTCACTGCAGTGAGACAAGTCACCTTCAGCAACGACAGCAAGTAAACCAACACACACACACACACACACACTCTGGTTACCATAGACTATGCATCATTGACTTAATAAGTAAATTTTCATTAGTCAAAAATTTCATAAATTTGTCTGGGCATGTTGTTGGATAAAATTTTGTTCACAAAATTTTTTTCTTCCACGACAAATAATATTTTGAACAAGAAATTAGTTGGCAAAAAGTTATAGAAGATTCATATACTTAATATTCTGGTTGCATTATTAATGGGAATTTTATATTTTATTATTATTGTTCTTTTATTGTGTAGGACTATCATTGGTGTTTGTGATAATGGAACTGTATGGAGGTGGGATGCTAAATCATAAAGAACCAATAATACACTCACACACAAACTTATTGTAATACACTGTACATCAGTATACTGTGTATACAGCATTATTTTTCTAACAAACAATGATACATTTTAATTATCATTCACTGATGCTAAAAGTAATAGTGTCATGACTTGAACTAAAATTGAATAATAAAAAGTTATTTTGGTTTCTTGTGTATACTCAGTCATCCTGTGTATAAAGAGAAAGAGAAAGGAAAGAATGACCAATGCTTTAGTGCCACTGATAAAGTATGAACATACATGTAGTGCATAAAGTTTAAAACCAGTGAAAATGCCAACATTAGTATGTACATGTATTTTAATAATTAGTGGAGTCAAATCCAAAATATACAGTATAGCGGGAAATTTTGGATGAAGTTAAATTTGGCAAATTGCTAATTTTTGGTGATTGGTGAATTTTGAAATTTTTAATTTGGTGAATTAGTGGCCACATGCCATTGAAATTTGAGCATGCATATAATGGCTCAAAATGGCAGATTTTATCTTGGCGAATAGCTATCAAAATGCCAAATTTGCCACATTTAATTCCTTCCAAAATTTCTCACTATACTGTATGTGTACATGCACATACTCATGCAGGTATCTAAAATAATAGTAGATGTAATTTACAATGTACAAGAACATAAGATAAGAATATCCTCACCCATTCATCATCATCAACCTCCCCTCCTCCTCCTCCCGTTCCCTGGCTGGGTTCATCAGTTGATTTGTGTCCCAGTATTTTATTAGTCCAGCTCTGTCCTGTCTTCTCTCCTCCAGTGTAGTTTGATGAGTGAGCTCGCTGATCACTATCCAGCTTTGTGAATGACTCTAGGGAGAGGAGAGAAATACATGTATATGCATATAAATACATGTAAATAAATGTACATGTACATGTGTTCGTATGTTGCATAAAAGAAATAGAACAAAGGAGAAAGGGTGTGTGTGTGTGTGTGTGTGTGTGCATGTAAACAGGACAAAAGGAAAATATCAAGAGATGTGACGAACAAAATAAATAATATAATGATAACAAACATCAGAAATAATAACAATAAACTAACAATAATTATATAATTAATTAACAACAATAATTAATACAAGATGTACATATACCAGCATAAACTCATTCCCCTTCCTCCCTCACCTATCAGTAGAGAGTCTCCTCTTGTCTTGAGTCTAATTCTTTGTCCTGGGCTGCACTCCACATGATCGTAGCTCTCATTCTCTCCCCAGAAACAAATCGACTGAGAGTGACTGCCTGTCTCAAACCCAACCAGATCAGAATGAACTCTTTCACACACTTCAGCATAACTCAATGTGTCTGGCGTTCCCTTGGCAACGTTTCTATAGTAACAATGAATAACAGCTAATACTATCAGTAAACAGTAATGTAATATCTGAGTCCCTTGATATCTGCCCTCAGCTTCACCTCAAGCAGATATCTCAGTCCTCAGGTATTACATTACTTATACACACACACCTCCAGACAGGCTGGACTACATGTACATGTATAATTCCAATTCTTACTGTGTGATGAGTTTAGGTAGCCGGTTTTTACTTTTGCTGTTTGCCCAAAGTTAGGTTTAATTTCTTTGCCTTCAGCATCAAACTTTCTCTGGCAACTTGGCAAGCACAATCAAATTCAATATGGAAGACACAAAAACGATAACAACAATAAAGCCATTTTAGCATCCACGTGTTTGTAGTATACGGAAGTTGTAGATCTACAGATCCCCGTATTTTTAAATCACGTGTAGACTAGCAGTGGACTGTGGACTGTGGACAGTGGTAAACTGAGCTAGTGGGATTTGTAAAGGTGTGCCCTGTAGTTTAATTTAATTTATTTTATTTTAATTTATTTATTGTAGGAAGGACACTCTCAACCTTTGTTTGGGGTACAGTTCAATCCTTTCCTTCCTGAGAAAAAAATATTTGCTACAGTTGGAACCAACAGGGTTTAATAATTGAGCTAACCACACCCACTATTAATCAATTGTATAATTGAAATAGCATCGTTAGATCAAGAAAGCAGACTAAAATATTGGTTGGTGAAAAGTACCATTGTATGTACATGTATATTTTGTTCATCAAGCTCATGTGTAAGAATAATATTGAAAAAGGATAATATAGTTATCTCCATGTACATGTACATTATTATTTATGTGTT